AAAAGCAGACGCTGGCTCTGTGCTTCTCGTACAGCCTGCAGAACTACGAGCCAAGTAAACCTCTTTGCTTTATAAATTACCCAGTCTTGGATATTGCCTTTACAGCAATGCAAACTGGACTAACAACACTAATATTGTGAGGACCGAATGAAGCACTAGCCTGAAAGTGCTTTGCAAAGTTAATCTGTACGGAATCATGGTGTCATTGTCATTCACAGCACCCTCTGAGGGGTAGAAACTATCTGACCTTTGCGTGTTATCTAAACCTTTAGTGACATTTGTTACTTCATTGGAAACTAACAAGGAAATAGTATTTTTTTAAAAAACAAAAACAAAAAAAACAACAGTAAGATTTGAGTCTTTTATTCCTGTGCGTTTAGACTTTTTATTCACACAATTAAGGAAGGCTGTTCACCATGTAGGGAGACTAACTATAAAATGCTTGCTTTTCAGCCCACTATTGAACAGAAATCTCTCTTCTTATATTAAAGACTCTCCAAATGATTTCTGCATGCCAGATATATTCTTCCTTCCTCTCTTATACAAACCACTCACCTACAAAAGAAAGAAATGGATTCGAGGTTTCACAGGAAACCACCAAAGGCAAAATAAAGCTCACTTAAAAAATCAACTACATTGCCTATTTATTTTTTAAAATTCCCTCCATTCTCTTTATTTCTCTGGTGTTGATTCTTCTCTTCCTTCCCATTCTCCCTTCCCTCTCTTTTTCCTTATACTTCCTGCCTTGGTCAGAATTTGAGGAAACACTTGGGATGGATTGGTTGTTCCATCAATACCTGCTCATTATCCTTAAAGAGAGTCATAGCTTTGTCTTCGTTTTCTCCATTCAGGGCTCAAAAGCTTGACGTGTGGCCTGCAGGTCTTAAACCGTGAGTGAAAACTGGAGTCAGGTCCTATTCACCCACAGCCAGCCTCGAACTAGGGCAGCCCTGGACACAGCTCCGTCTGCCTCTCAGTCAAAAGACAGAGGTGCTCTGTGTTGGAAAAGAAACCAGATGAGGCTTTCTTCATTTTTACTTCAGTAGGGTAGATGAGCCAGTTAACTTCATGTAGGGTAATGACGACGTAAAGATTATGTGTCAGGAACTCTTTGTTTTAATTCTGAATACGCCACTAACTAGTTCTGTGATGTTAAATCTTCCTTTTCCTCCATTTTTTTTTCTCAGCTGCAAAATAAATCCAGATCATGTTTAGATTCCTTCTAATCCTAAAACTTGTATGATGTATTATCTTTTAATGAGAACTTGTAAGAATGCAGTGTGCATTCCCAATGAGGGTTGGTGAGTGTAGCTATATAAATTCTATATGGATCCAGACCCTTTCTCCAAAGGGTCCAGAGAGTCTGCCCTCTTTCATCTCTCTCTGTTTGTGTAGCATGATCTATCATTTATTGGCCATGTCCTTCCACCGGGAGCTGTCCTGAATGCTGTGTACATTTCCTTGTCCTTAAAATACCAACATGCCAGTAAAAACCAACTCTTGGTCCCCAACTTAAATTAAACAATGGCACTTACCGTTGAGACCGTAAGCTGGCTCTCATTCAAACATACACTTAGAGGAAGAGCAAAATGTCTTACTTTACCCTAGGGCATAATGAATTTCAACTTACAGTTAGAGAAGAGTCTTTAGGCAGACAGAGTAAAGCCGAGGGAAATGGTTTGGTGGATGCAGGAGTTCTGAGGGGCAGAACTGGAGCTAGCACCAGGAAAGACAAGGACGTGACTGAGGACACCTTTCGCGCAGGGGGTGTGGGTGGGGGAGTCTTCGGGGCCACAGAGAGAAGCATTTTCCTCCACTAGTGGCCCAAAGGGAAGATCAGGGATTTGTAACCAGCAAGCAATGAAAGGAAGGAAAGAAGCAAAAGGTATGTATTGGGCGTCCATAATGAGCCAGACACTATATCGTGGATCTCGTTTCATGCCTAATCTAATAGGTAGATAAAATTTAGTGGAACATCTATCCCAGTTAGGTATGGGACTTACTGGAAGAACAGAACCAAGAATATGAACATCTAGCCTCATGTATATTTTAATAAAGCCCAGGGGCTGCCATTACTACTCCTTCAAAATTTCTCATAACCAATTAACTTTGTTTCCATATATTTTACTGGTTCTCAGCCTGCGCCACACATTAGGATCTTCTTAGATGCTTTGAACAAATGCTGAAGTCTGTGCTCCATCTCATCCCCATCAAATAAGGGGAGTGGACAAACAGGCAAATGTAAAAAATAAATTATCTCCCTAGGTTACTTTAATATGTGCTTGAGAACTATTGCTGTACTCACTTCTAAAGCTAAAATGAATTTGTACACTTTTTGCAAAGATTGCACCTATGAGAGGAGCTAGGAAACTGAAACCCCGTTCTGAAGCTGGTCCAAGGAAAAGATGAGACTTTGGTTTTGTTAATATCAGCTCTAATAGACCTACTCAAAGCTGCCTGGTAAGAGCTAAGGAATGACAAATTCTAGAAAGAGTTTGCTGCTTCTCTGTTCCCATAGCTGGAACTGTAAAAAAAAAGCCCTGGTTACCACGGGCCATCACAGACGTCTCATATCACCTGGAGTAGGGTTGTCCAATTACACCCATGACCCTAAGGCCAGCAGTGTGTCTGGGTGAGAAGCTGCTGACCATTACAGAAACATGAGAAACCAGGAAATGTCTTATGGGCAACTGAGAGCATGGATTTTCCATGAATTACAATTCCATAAAGGCAACTCACTGGAAAACATTAAAAAATCAGAGTGATCTAACTGATTCAAAGATGAATGTGAAGACCAATTGTTTACATTGGTATGAAGATGGAGAAATAAAGGCCCACACAGTCATAAAGGACTGAACATAGTTGAAAATCAAATCTAACTGCTGGCGGCAGGTTGCAAATGCAGTAGACCTTCAATACATTTTAAAAATGATTAATGAATTGACTGAGATTTATTTTGAGATTCGATCAGTTTTTAGTAAAGTGTAAGTGTTTTCATATTCTCCCTTCAGTTCTACCGCACGTTCGCTGTGGAACAAAAGTATAACTTCTTTAAGAGTTATAAAAGCAGTTGTGATTTCTTTCCGTTGCTGATAACGAAATATGACAAGAAAAATATTATCGGTACTTATCCTGTTAATATTTTCTTTTATAAGGAAAACATCTGAAGCTAATTTTCACTTTTTGTAGAATTTAAACATAAACTGACCTTGAACTTAGAAAAAGTGAAAAGTGGTTTCTCTCGTCTTCCTGGCAGCAATAGGGCTGCCGTGTTGCACAACTCCAGGAGGTGCCGGACACACAGTGGTCTCTGTGCCTGGCACCCCCATAGTTGTACAAATGTGATGTACTGAAGAACCCCAGGCAGCAGGGTTACTAAGCCACATTCTAAATGGAATGTCAGAGAACATGTCCAGTAAAATGTAGGCTATTTGATTCATGGTATCCATTACTGCTAATAAACAATACATTGCAAATTTCAGTACACAGTAAATAGATATTTGGCTTCTCCGGGCACTGGCAGCAAATGTGCAGCAGAACATTCCCAAATACACGTGCAGGGACATCCATCTTCCATGTCTCTGACTCACCTGTGGCCAGGCCCTATCCAGAGTCCTCCATGTACCTCCCCATAGTAGATGGGGTCTTGCTATGTTGCCCAGGCTGGAAAAAGATCCTACATCTCCGAGAGTACTACTGGCCCAGAGGGAAGGAAAAAGTAATTGAGGCCCTCTTGATAGGCCACTTGATATTTTTTAGACCAGTATAAAATATTCTCATTGCCTGCTTTTGAAATTAAGGGAAGAAATGTATATTTTTCTATTCTAGATCATGCCAATTGAAAGAGGAAATACTGGGAGGTGGGAGAGAGGGAACAAAAAGAGAAGGTAGTAGAGGAGAGGGACCCAAAGCAAAGAAGTTGCAGGAGAAACTATAGAAATAAGAAGAGATTGTGACAAATGCAAAAAAGAAGCACATGACAAGTAGGATGGGAAGGGGACATGGAAAGAAAAGGGAAAAAGAGTCTGGGTTCTGAGGTGAGTGAACGACTGCACTATTTTTGTACAGTCTGTGTTCTTATGGGCTGTTAACCCTAACCCTAATGTTAGTCATTCAACTAACATTCGCTGAATACCTATTGTGTGCCTAGGTGCTGGGCAGAATAATCTGGCAGAATCCCAGATGTGTTGGGAAGATGACAACTCACATAGAGCACAGTCTTTGCCATCAGGGTGTTGACAATTTCAAAGGGGACATAAAATATACACACAGCTATGTATAAGGTAGGGTCACATTGAAGATGGCAGCGGGGACCGCATCATGGTTGTCTACTCTCTGCCATTCCCCAGTGTCACCAGAGGGCCTGGCACCTAGCAGGCGTTCGCTAAGTGGTTCCTGGATGTGTTAGTTGCTAAGTTGTGAACCAAGTGCTATAAATGTGGATGAGCCTGGGACCATTTCTGGCTGGGGAGAGCTAGGCAGGAGAGGTTTCCTAAAGACTGACGCTTGAGGGAGAGGAAGGGTTTTCATAAGCCAAGGTCAAGACCTTTTAGACATAGGGCACAGTGTGAAGCTATACAGCCTGTGTAGGTTTAGGGCCTGGAAAATGCCTGATTATCTGAATGTAGGGTTTGTGTTAGGAAGACGACAAGGCCAAGGGAAATTAGTGTCAGGTTATCCTGGTCCTTGAAAGCTGGTAAGCAGTGTAGTCTCAATTCTTTGGGTAAGAGTGAAGATGAGCAGCAAAGGATTTTTGGCAACTGAATGGTGGATTAGAGTTAGTCTTGAAACAGATAAATTTTGTTGTTGTTGTTGAGACAGAGTCTTGCTCTGTCACCCTGACTAGAATGCAGTTGCATCACCATAGCTCACTGCAGACTCAAACTCCTGCACTCAAGCGATCCTCTTGCCTCAGCCTCCAAAGTAGCTGGGACTACAGTCATGTGTCACCATACCCAACTAATTAAATTTATTTTTTTTTTTTGTAGAGATGGAGTCTTGCTATGTTGCCCAGGCTGGAAAAAGATTAATTTGACAACTGCATTCAGAAATATGTGACCTGGAGAGCCTGGAGCAGAGTTTCTGAAAGCATGATCCATAACCCCATCCCTGACCCGATCAAAATGCAGAGGCCCGGGCCCTGCAGATATTATATTTCTTAGCTCTGGGGTGAGGCCCAGGATCTGTGTTGAAAGAAGTTAGGTAATTTTCCCATCCATGAAAGCTGCCTAAAGCTGCCTTAGAATCAGGGCCAGTGACGAGGTGTATTCGTTATCTATAGCTGTGTGACAAATCACCCCAAACTTAGTGGCTTAATACAACACAAATGTACTGTCTGCATGTTTGTAGGGCAGGAGTTTAAGAGTCACTTAGTCGAGATGTCTTATGAATTTGCAACAAAGCTATAGGCCAATGCTGTAGTTATCTGAAGGTGTGAATGAGACTTCCAAGTTCATTCCTGAGGCTGTGGGCAGGAGTTCTGTTTCTCTCCATAGGGTTGGTCATGACAACACCCCTGGAATGATCCAAGGGGGGTCGGGTGGGGAAGGGGAGGAGATAGGGAGAGAGATACAGAGAGAGATCAAGACAGAAGCTCTAAGATGTTTCTTGACCTAATCTCAGAAGTGGCATACCATCACTTGTGCCATCTTCTGTGGGTTAAGCAGACCCACCTAGTACAACGTGGGAGGGAGCTACCCCAGGCTGTTAATACCGGGAGGCTGGGATCACAGGGAATAACCTGCAGTCTAAGTAACACGGTAGATGGAAAACTCACAGTCCAGGTGTTGGCTGTTAAGAACCTGAAATTATAGTATAGCACGTGGTATGAAATAGTGTGAGCTAATGTGTTTGAACTCTCACCACATGCCAGGAACTGTTCTAAGCGCTTTACACATATTATCTCATTTAACCTTCGCAACAACTTAACATAGGCACTCATTAGCTACAGGAGGAAACTGAGGTAGCCAGAGATTAGTAGCATAATGAGAGCCGTCAGGAAGAAGGACTTGTCAGGACATGCAGAGAGACCGAGTGTGGAGGCAGGTAATTGGCAGTCACCAGTGTCCTCTGGCATTTTGACTGCCTGATGACCCACCTTTATGTTAAATAGTTCTTCAACTGATGGACCCATGAAGTGCTCAGATTCATTCTGAGCTGGCCACAGCAGCTGACCAGGGACAAATCACACTCCAGCCTACAGCGCCACACAGCCATTCATTTAGGTAGCAGTGGGAGCTAAACCCTAGACCAGAAATTCTTCCCCGATCGGATCCCTGGAGCCGATCCCTGGTTCCTCAACAGCTGGGGCTTGTTTCCTGACCACTGGAGGATCGAGCTCTGCCCTGACGCTGTAACTTCGCATTTCTTCCCCCGCAGTCTGGAGAGGCTAAGGTATGAGAACGTTTTATTTGTGAACCCAGCAGATCACGCTCCTGAATAAATCAGGCGGTCAGGGGATTACTGTTGCTCTCTGTTTATTATTTGTTTCCCCAACACCTGCAATCTGGGGTTCCCCAAGGCAGGCTGTTTCCCTCCACTTGCTCTGAATGTTCCTCTACGATGGAAAACGCCCTCCCAACTTTCCACTCTGCTTCTGCGGATTTCCTCCAAGCCATCCTTGTTTGTGGCCCATCGGCTCCTCCCTGGCGTCCTCAGACACCACCCAGCCTGTTCCTGCTGCGAACCACACCATTCCCTTCCGTCTTTCCTTGCCTGCAGGTTTCTTCCATTCGTTCCCCATCTCTGCTTTCCGTCAGCCTTTCTCCTCCTTCATCTTGTCCTGCAAAGCCACACCTGTGCTGATAAGTGCCCAGAGTTTGATAATTTACTTAATGTCAATGAAAGGAAGGGAAAAAGTTCAGCTCTAGGGACGGGGGAGGAGGACGGAGAGGTGGGCAGCCTTGGCCTGCAGGGGCCACCCCCGCGGACTCTACCTCGCAAGGAGCCCGGAGCTGTCGCGCTTGGCGGGGGCCACCCCGCACGCATGTGATTACGTCCCTCAGGCTCCCGGAGCCGGAGGGACAGCCCCGCAGCCTGCACGCCCCTCTCCCATGAACTGAAACAGGAGGAGAGGCGCGCCGGGCAGGCGACCCGAGCTGCCCGGGCGGTTCAGCCAAGCGGGCGAGTGGCCCTGGAGAGTGTCCAGGCTGCCGGGTGTGGCCGCGAGCGAGCGCACAGCCAGTCACCCCGGCATGTGGGCGCGGCGGGACTCTGCTCGCAGCCCGAGTTCGCCCAGCCCGCCTGCGCCGCCCCTGCCGGTCCCTCCCTCGCTGCCCGGACAGCTGCCGCGGCGCAACTGGACGTGGCGGGTGCTCAGGCCACCCTGCCCAGGTAGGTGCTGGGGGTAGGGATGAGGGAGGGCCCAGAGAGGAGTGTGGGGGTGGGGAGTGGCCTGGGGGAACGTGGGAGGCGCAGAGCCCGGCAGGCTGGCGGGCGGCCTAGGGTCGGTCGCTGTGCGCCCCTCCCTCCTGTCCCTCTGTCGCGCCTGGGGCGGCTCAGGTGCGTGCAGAGCCGGCAAGCGCGGCGGCGCGCGCGGCCGGTGTCCGGTGTCGGGTGTCCGGTGACTGGAGCCGCCGGCTGGGTGAGCGGCGGTCCCCAGGGGGCCGGGGGTTTGGGGTGCTGGCGGGGGGCGGAGGAGTCCGCGGGGACCAGCGAGTCCTTGGTGGAAGTTGTGGGAATCTGGGCGGGGTGTGCAGGCCGGCTAGTGGGGGCACCGGCAGGGACGGGGCGGCGGCGGAGAGGATCTGGGCCGGGCTGGAGTTTCTGGACTCGGGTGGGAGCACAGCCCCGGCGCCTTGTGGCTCCCTGGCCAGCTCGGCCTCCCGCACACACGCGTGGGACAGGACCGTGTGGCCCTCCTGCGCCCCGAGAACCCGGCTCGCGCTTCTTGCACCCCACGCTCGGCTGCGCTTTCCCTGAGCGCCGGCACCGCCCAGGGGGCTCCACGTGGGGCGGGACGCGGCGGGAGGCTGGTCCAGCCCGTGTCCCCAGGGGGCGACGGCCTTCCTCAACCAAGTGGGCACTTATGGCCGTGGCGTCCACGTGGGCGCCCTAAGTAGCCACAGTTTAGTTTCCTCAGAGTTGCTCCACCCCTCCTAGGTAGGGGTCTCAGAGAAAGACCGAGAGCGGCCCCTTCTAAACACATTCTCCTCATCTCCCAAAAGGCTTTTATTTGATTGCTTGTTTAATACAAACAACAACTTGGATACAACTATTTTTAAAAGGGAAATAGTGGAAGGTATATATGGTCATAGATTTGGCATATGAGTGCAATCTTCTAGGTAAATCCATGTGTATGGTAATTTCAAGTTTCTTAAGAACAGTATATTTTCAAAACTTAGCAAAATGTCTGTCATTAAAAATGCAGATAATATTTTAAAATGTAGAATTAAAGCCACAATTGCATTGTGGGGCAGTGGCTGTGGGAGGGGTGAGAATCAGGCCAAGTCTATAGGATGGTGGGAAACTTAACTGATCCTATGACCCTTTAGAAGTTGGTTTTTGGAATAGATAGCAGGTGTGGGCTGTTTGGCTCTCTTAAAAGGTGATGTGCTAGAAGAAAACAGAATCAGAGCTTTTCCTTTATTGGATCTTGAATAACTGGAAGTTTGTTGTACTTAATGTGTTAGGGGAAAGCCATTTGAGTTTGAATCAGCAATGATTATTTGTCTTCTTGGGGAGTGAAAGTGGGAAAAACCCTGGTTAGTTAATATCCTTGTTTGTTTCTCCTGACCCTGGCTCCGCTTCTTAACTTCACGCTAGATTATATTGCATAGTGCACAAATCATGCAGCTTCTCAGACTGAACTGGCCTTCGTTTTGCAGATGTGGAAACTGAGTCCAAGGCAGCCCAGAATTCCAGCGCTCTTTGAGAGGCGGCGTTGGGAATGCAGGCTGGAGTCCCTGCTGGTTGTCCTGTGGTCACTGTGCCGTGCTTGAGTTTCCATCTTAAAGCCTTGGGGTAGGGTTCACGGGCTGGGGGCAGAGTTAATCTACAGTCTCAGAAGGCCCCAGAGTCAACAGCCTGACCACAGATAGTTCTCAATTGGGTCCTCCAAGTAGTCTCGAGGCCAGTGTCTTTCCTTCATGATTGGCTAGTTAACTTTAGTGCTGCAAATCCGTGTTTGCTACAAAAGGCAAAACAAAGCAAAATCAAAATGGAAAAAGAGGGAAAGAGCTTGAGCATTTCATCACAGAGGTGCTGTGAAACTCTTGACACGTGTACTATTTACACTGCTGCTCATGGAGAAGAAGAAATCTTGGAGACAAAGTAGATGACTAAGTGGAAGGAGAAATTGAGGTAAGTGCCGGTGAATAAAGTAGGCAAACAACATGCACACCTGGGCCAGCGTGACAGCTCCTCGCTGTCCTTCCCAGGTGGAGTGTTTTCAACACTTGGCCTCTCCTAGGCTTATCAGCGCCAGTTGACCCGGGTGAGGTATGTGAACCTGCAGTTCAGCGAGCCTGCAGGAATCTGCTGGTCGTCTTTCTGAAATTTCACACGTGGCACCGTGTCCTAATGTTCTGATTCTGGGCTCTCAAACTCACTACAGGCCCTCTGTGTTGTGGAAGACAAAAGAGCAGACTTAGAGCCAGACTGCACAACTATGCCACTTTCTAGCTGCTGGACTTCTGTGCTTGGTCTTCTTAATCTGAAAAAGGGGGATAGTGGTGAACTCAAAGGGTTTTGTGAAGGTTAAGTGAGTTAAGGTGGTGCCCGGTATGGTAAGTGTTAGTCCTGTTTTCAGGAGTGCTCTGGGCAGTGAATAGAGGAGGAATGTGACTTTGACACTTTCAGGCTTTTAATTTTTAGTCTCCACCCAACCCTTGGAGAGGATTCACCTCATTCAGGATGGGGAACACAGCAGAACAAACCTCACTGAGCTGCTCGTTTTCTGCTGTGCTTTATTTTTGTGGAAGTCAACCATGGCAGTCATGAGAAGTGCCAACACGAGGATGTTTACTGGAATGTCAAGGAGTCATTCCCTTTGGTTTCTTGCCCCTTTATCTTGGAGTGTGTGGATTTAGCCAGCTCCGCCCCTTGAGCAGTTGTTAGAATCCAAAAGTCAAGAAATCATTATAAGATATCAGTTCTGTGGCTGTTAAGGCCTTTGAACATCAACTCCAAGCAAAATGCAAAGTCAGCAAGGGGCGTGCTGAGAGGGGCGTGTGCTCCTAAGTTAGAGTCGGTGACACTGCTTTTCACTCTTTTAAAATTTTCTCTGAATATTTTGTTCCATCTGAGTTCCGGTAGTTGAGTGCTACGGAAGATTAGAGGTTGCAGTTAGTAAGAATAGTTGCAGCTTCAATAACGGCCCCTGTTGCATAATGAATGGTTAGTGACTCTAAGGGCTATATATGCCACCAGGCTGCGGTGCCCTGGCTGCAGAGCATGTTTGTGTCAATGGACTGGTATCTGTCAGGAAACGGCTTTGCAAGGGGGAAGGTGAAGGGGACTCCTTAGGCGGTGAGAGGAGCTTTAAAAATCTTAAAAATCTAGCCGTATGAATGAGAAAGTAAACAAAATAAGAGCAGTGCAAACTTCTGTGGCCATGGTAGGACTAAAGAACTAGTCTGAAGTTTTAAGAGTGTTTGAAGTTAGTGTGGAGAAATAAGGTATTTGAGAGGACATGGCTAGGTGGTGAGATTATTGAGGCAATGTAAGCACCAAATTATTGGTCAATTTCTTAGAACACAGGTTATCTTGAAAAGTCACAGTAGGACTTCTGTATCCTATTACTTTGAAACCAAAGTCTTTTTTTTTTTTTCTAGAATGGAAATATATGCATAATATTTTTTGTGATTGTAAAAGTATGAAGGTTTGGTATTTTTTTTAAAAAATCAACCAAATAGAAATGTGTAAAGTAGAATGGAACTTCAGTGGAATTGCCAGCTCCAGTAAGATCTCTGTGAATCCCTCGTGCAAGTCCAAATCCATGGCATCTTTTTCTTTCTCTTTTCTTTTTTTTTTCCCTGAGACAGGGTCTCACTCTGTTGCCCAGGCTAGAGTGCCATGGTGTCAGCCTAGCTCACAGCAACCTCAAACTCCTGGGCTCAATTGATCCTACTGCCTCAGCCTCCCGAGTAGCTGGGACTACAGGTGTATGCTACCCCACCCGAATAATTTGTTCTATTTTTAGTAGAGACAGGGTCTCACTCTTGCTCAGGCTGGTCTCCAACTCTTGGACACAAGTGATCCTTCCAGAGTGGTAGGATTATAGGTGTGAGCCACCACACCCGGCCCATGACTTCTTTTTAAAGGAGCCCTGTAGTAAACTCTTATAAATCAAGGATCCTTTGTTAGGAACCTAGTGACCTCTTCATTCCTCAGTTTATCTGGTCTGTAAAGTTAGATTTGTTTTTAATTAGCTTATCAGGAAAAGGTACACCTAAAACCTGGTGACCTTCCAGAATCGACATGAATGTTCTCCTTTGCACCTGTACTGATGTTATGGCTCTAGTAGGTTGTCTGGAAATTACACTGCCCTTTTGTGAAGATGAAAGTACATACTTGTGTTTATTTAGTGCTGCTTTTAAGGGAAAATGCAAAATTTGCATTGTAGTCTTATTTTTATTTCTTTTTTGTTCTTCCTTGAGTATGGCTCTGGTTTGGTTTGGTTTAGGGTAACTCTGAAATCTGCAAAATGGTATTTTCTTTTGCAACAGGTTGTTTGAAAAGAGGCTTTTAATTACTTCTTGTGACTTTTTTTTTTTTTTTTCTTTTTTAAGCCTTACAGTGGTGGTTTGTTAGGCTGTGTGGCAATAATGTTTGCTTAGTTGAGAGAAGGCCAAACCTCTTTTAATTGTTTTGTTTCCCTGAGATTGACCTGTACAAAGTTGGGGTTTTTGTTATTTTGATACAGTATCTTTGGAAGTTACAGGATCGAGGTTAGGCAAACTCTTAACAAAGGGTGCCTCAGCTGTTTCTTCTTTTCCCCTGAAATGAAAAGTGATACTGTGTTTCCTCTCAGCTTTATTTATAAGCCTGTCCTTGCCATTGTCTACACATTTTAATACTGCCTAACTCAGGGCTGTTGCTCTTTGCAGGTTCGCTGAACGGCATTTTGATGGGGATATTTGGTACCAGGTCTCGGGAGCCTGCTTGTTGAATTATTGTCGCACTCAGCCGGGATTGTGAGGCTTCGGGAAGATTTGTGGGCACACCCGGTGCTGGCCAAAGTGGAGGCACAACTGGAGGTCATTTTCAGGAACTTTTGCCACAGGTGTAAAAGACGCCAGAACCGCAGAGATGCTGAAACAGATACTAGCCGAGATGTACATAGATCCCGATCTACTGGCAGAGCTCAGCGAGGAACAGAAACAGATCCTGTTCTTCAAGATGAGGGAGGAGCAGATCCGGCGATGGAAAGAAAGAGAAGCGGCAATGGAAAGAAAGGAGTCCTTGCCAGTGAAATCCAGACCAAAGAAAGGTAAACTTAGCCACATCACTTTCGTGAATGTGGGTGGAGTAGCTCCCAGCTTGCTTTGACAGCTTCACGCTAGTCACAAGCAAAGCAGGTGCAATGAGCCCTGAGTGTTACTGACATTCTAATAGTGCAGTTTATCAACTTGAAGTCTACACACGCAGTATTCACTTTGGAGTTGCTGCATAGCTGTAAGCAGATCTCTTACTTGAAACCAGACTGACTTTACACCAAAGTAGAAAGTAACTGGTGGGGTTTGATTTGAAGGATGTTGAGAAAGGTTTCTGTTCCCCCTACTGTTACAAATGCCTAGTATTCTACTAGAACACAAATTTCTTGTTTCAGCATCCTTATAGCAGTTGTGTTTGCATTTCGTAGACCTGAAGGGACTTTTCTTTGAGGTATCTTTTGTTGCAAGGGGGCCCCTTCTTAAAATGTAGGGAACTGCTATAAGGAAAAACATCATTCTATTTTTTTTTTTTTTAATCGGATGTACTTCTTCATGACCAAAGGAATTCCTGGAAGTTTAAGAGGGTTCTTTTGAGACCATAGGGGAGAAGTTATTTGTGCATTAAGACTTAAAGCATATTCACACACAGATATATAAAAGCACATATTAAGCTCCGCCCCCCCTCGCTGCCTTGCATGCAAAATTTGTCATAGATGAATACCTAAGTTGTTAAAATGCAGCAGTTTTTTTTTTCATTTTATTTTTTTTATTTTTTATTTTTATTTCGGCATATTATGGGGGTACAGATTTTAAGGTTTCAATAAATGCCCATTTCCCCCCCTCTAGTGCAGCAGTTTTTGATGCCACTTACAGACACATTCAGGACCAATTTTTTCTCTTTTTTTATTAAACCAGGAATAAGTTTATAAAATGATGGTTTTAGAGGTTGAGAAAAATGAATCTCACTTGCATGCTTGGTATATGCACAGATTCAAAGTGGAAGTTAGTTTAACAACCTTTACCTTATCCTGTCTTTTATGAAAACTTTTTCAATGAAGCCTTTATAATAAGGAAATGAATATAAGTATCTCACTTATTCGTATCAAGAACAGCTATTAAATACCTGCTGTTTCAGACACTTTGTGAAGCACTTTTACATACGTTATATCTAATCTTCCCCAAACTACTGCAGAGTTAGTATTAACTTTCATCTTTTATAGATGAAAAAACTTAGAGAAGTAATATATGCAAGATCACACCACAAATAGTAGATGTCCAGACCTGTTGGATTTCACCTAATTCCACACTATCCAAAATAGAATTTTTCCTTCAACAAATACCATGTCCAAACTAAAGCATAACCCCTTTGTCTTTCTGAGCTGGTTTATGCATCTCCTTGCATTCTGTAGTCAGAGTTTATCAGATATAGCTGGCTCTCTTCTGGGCACCACGCTTATTGTGAACATAACATGTCACAGTGTGAGCTGAAGGGTTCTTGTCCCTGGAGTCCACAGCCCAAATACTTTGTTAGGCTTTGGGCTTCTCATGTTTGCCAAATTGGTTTCCTTGTGATGACTTATGACAATAGTTGCAGTTTCTTTGCTTAAATTTTTCCTTTGTAGAGTTTTGAATCTACCTCTCAGAAACCCTGCATTACTTTGACATGAGCGTGAGACAAGTATGTTACTATGCACATGAAAGTTCTATCAATATTTCATGCCAAAAGTTTATTAACCCCTTAAATTTAACACTTGGAAAAATGTATGTTGTGTGAAATTAGCTGTTGTTCTGGCTACAGAAAAGGGAAAGGTTTCTTTCACTTCCCCTAAAAATACAGCATTTCTCTGACTTTGATCTTGCTCTGTCTTTGACGATACAGCCACAGACAGTCCAAGGCAACGCTGTCATGGCCGGCGCTGCCCAGAGGTGCTGTCTGTGCTGTAGACCTACTAAGCCTGTGGTCCTTGTGGGCCGAGACCTCACTGTGTGTGTCAGCTCCTTTTGGGGTCACCTGTGCATTCTGCTTTCCCCACTGCTGCCTCCCTGGCTGGTATTGGGCTAAGTGCTGCTTTTTCTTAGAAGTTCCTAGCCAGGTTATGGCTTTGGGTGTTGTCTTCTCATTAGATTAATATCATATACCCAACTTCATTCCCATCCACTCTGTAGCTCATCACTTAAAAGTTCTATCATTGTCATCTGGCCGTTTTTTTCTCTACATATACAGGCCACTGTGGAGAGCATCCTTATAACGGTTGTGTACTATGTATCACAGGATCTTGTCTACCTTATAGTAAACTAAAGGATGAAGCAGGAAAGGCTAAAAAAAATCAGAAATATGGATGTAACCCAGAAATGCATCAGAAGATGCTTTCTGACTTCTCTAGTGGGGAAGATGTGATTCTTGGGGAGAGAATTATGGAACTCCTCTGCTAGAGGTCTAGAGCTATGTTGTCCAGTACTGTAGCCACTTAGCCATGTGTGACTGTCTCAGTTGAGGCCTGTCTCCATTGAGGGGTACTGTGAGTGTAAACTTCCAGATTTCAAAGACTTGGTAGAAGGAAAATAAAATGCCACGGTGACAACTGCATGTTCATTAGATATTGAAATGGGAACATTTTGGAGAGCTTGGGTAAACTGTATTAAAATTAATTTCACCTGTTTCTTTTAATGTTTTAAATGTGGCTACTAGAAAAGTTATGATTATGGATGTGGCCCACATTTGCACAGCGCTGCTGCTCTGGACTAGCATAGTAAGACCAGCCAGTGTGTATTAAGCTGACTATGTGTCAGTCCCTATAGTGAACACTTAAACACATTATCTCAATAATCACAACCAAGCCTGGAACATGAATTGCTATTCATGTTTTACAGATGAGGGGAAAGTAAAGCTCAGGACGTGAATTAACTTGCCAGGGCAACAGCTAGTCCATGACAGAGCTGGCATAGACCCAGAGTCTGGTTCTCCTGAAGCTGGCACTGTTGACAAAAATGCTGCATGTGAGCTGACCTGGAGCTTAATGAATTACTCTTGTTTGAAGGTGCCTTGCACACATCTAAAACGTATGCTTGTGTTGGGGATCTGCCATGGAGCTCTTTTCCTGTCTAACTTTATTTGGTAACACAAACAGAAGATACCTTCTCTTAGCAGAAGGTTTCCCAGCACTTGTTTCATGGAGTCTCTCTCAAGTTGGTGGAAACTTAATGTGGCAGGCTGGGATCTGGTTGCTGTGCCTGGTGCAGCAGCAGCTCCTTTGTGTGCTCTTGAAACAGACTTAGATTTGCAAAACTTCACTTGCCAGACTCTCATGGTTACCAAGTGGGCAAGTGCCTTTATGGAAAGCCTTCTCTTGCCATGAGATAATGATAAAGCCATTGATATGTGGCACTGGCTATCTGCTTTCTCCCCCCCCCACACCCCTTGTGAACCCCTCTGCATACAGTAGGACAGGCCATGACTTCCACTGCTGCATTTGGTTCTTTTCCAATTGATTCCTCGGTCACATGTGACCCTAGTAAGAGTTGCCTCTTAGAGACTCTACTCATTTCCTGGATCTCTTCTTCCTCTGTTTCTTTTTCATCTCTGCCTGGCCCCCTGAATACCCGTGTTCTCCTGGGGGTACCTCACTCTATGCTGGTGGTCTATGATTTTTGAGATGGCGTTGGGCCAGTGGGGAGCTCATAGGCTCCTTTAAAAACTCACTGAAAGCTTGGGCCCAGGACCATCCATACAACATTTTGTGTATAATCTCACAATGTTCAGACCCGCTAAAGCCCATTCATTCATAGATGCCCCGGGGGTTTGGAGATCCTTGGTTAAGAGTCTGTATTATCTCCCTGGGGCAAATCTTCTGTCTTTAAAGGTCAAATGCCACCTATGAGGCAGTGACTCTGAGACCCGTGTTGCCAGGGCAGACCTCTCATCTGGGCGTCGGTCTTAGTGTCAGTTGCCTAGAGAGCATTTCCGCTCGGAAGATTCATAAGCCCTGCATATGTGGTGCAAAACCGGATTCATCTGCATCACCCCAACTCTCCCCAGCATCCCTGGTCATCCTGCCTCTCATTCGCTGTCCCTATTCACTGACACCAGACCCCAGGGAGCCACCTGGTTAACCCTGATTATCCTCACCCGCCCACCTGGCCACAGAATCCTATAAATTCTCCATTATCTGTCCTAGTCTATAGGGCTTTTCCCCTCCCAAGGCGTTGGCCTGTTATTAATAGTATGTGCCGGGCATATGCATTGCATTTGTATTATCTCATTTAATCCTCTTAAGAATCCTGTGAGTTCAGCTTTGTCTCTCTTATCCTTACTAATAAAGAAACATACTTGGAGGTAGAATTAGTGCAAGTCAGTGGTTTAACCAGGATTCGAACTTGGGTCCAGCTCGACTCCGTGTCTGTCCTGAATCATTGGTCTTGGCCCTTATTATCCTGCCTTAGCATCTGTCTCCGTAACTCTGAGCTTTAAGATTCAGCTGGGCTCTGCATCTTGGCCACATGGGGAGTGGCATTTATGAGTAATAAGAGCGTTGCATCCCTCTGGCCCTGCCTGGCCCCAGGGGGTCTCCTCGCTCCAGCTCAGTGTTTCTGTCTACTTTTCTGCCTGAAGTTCTTGCTTATCTACCCTCCCACCCTGGCTTCCTAGGACCGTGATGCAGAGCAGGCCCTCGGCTCTCCTTTTGTCTCTAAAATAAGCATAAAAGTTTTGGTGTGAATAACTCCAGGATTATTACCCAGGTTAACAAATATAGCAAATAATGGGGAAAGCAACAGTCCCAGGTAATTTTAGGAAGTCCTGATAGAGATCTGCCTTGGTCTTCATTGAAATAGACATCGGGCTGGACCTGGCCTTTCTGTAGCCCGTCCTGCTCTGTAGGGACAGGAAAGGACAGGGTGGTCACTGTGCATCCCAGCTTGCCCCCCCAGAGGCCCGTTTACGTTTGTCACCCCGTAATCCCTTTGGCTGGTTTCCTTTTCACTCTTGAGCGTTTCAGTTTGGACCATGCATGACAAGGCTGCCATGAAAACAGGTTTTGCGGTCATGCAGATGGGTTTG